GTATGTGTCGCAAGGTCAATCGGTAAATGAACGAAACCAATATTCGACATTTACATAAGCGAAGCTAGTCACTGTGTTCATCTGTCATCGTCTCCAATTTAAATTCAAATGAAATGATTTCACGATCGATCAACGACTGGAAAACCAGTCGAAATGTTGCTCCTTCTTTCTCTTCCATTGGTCCTCTAGGTTCGCGTCGAGTCATTTGTTATAATGTCGAATGAGTGACATATTGACATAATGTTCAGGACCGCGCTATGAATTAGTAGTCGCCGAATAAAATCATCGTTAATTACAATATGTTAATGGGAGATCGTTAGGATTAGTTTAATGTGAATTTTATGAATCTGTAACAGTTTCGACTATTTAAATCAGGACAACGTGGGGTTTCATTAACGCTATTGATGTTGGCTATGTAATTAGTAAAACTAATGGTAAACAATAAATAATAATAATAATAGTAATAATAATAAATATTACTGTTCCTTACTTTATAGATTAGCTTTTATAAAAACAACTGTTTCTGACTGTTATAATTAAAATACGTTTTAAATTATAATTAAAGAATTTAAAAAATATTTGTGGCAATTTTCACTGAGGTCAATTTATATCAATATACGTAGAAAAACTCAGATATATTGTTATGTAATATATTTTAAATAGATAATCAATTCGAATGAAATTTAATATTTTTTTCAATGCTGTGGTAATTAGCGAAGTTACGTAGGTAAGTGTCTTTATATAAAAACGAAATTTCTCGTTACCGGTACGCAATGTGTTAATATAATACTTTCATATTTTCATATATTTATCTTAACTATCTGAGATATTTATAATATTATCATTCGATGGTAAATGGCTTAGTCCTATGAAAATAGTCTCCACAGTCTCTTATAAATGATTCAACGGAATATATATCAACGTAGACCGGATATAGCCATCTTTTAGTCTGCGTATATACCTTTCCTCTTCTAAACTTACCAACCAATCGTCAAAGGGTACCTCAGACATCTCGCCTGGTCAACGACATAACCGTGGAAACTTATGAGTGTGTATTCCTGGAAATCTAATTAGAATGTGGTCAGAAGCCTCCCCTAATGCTTCGCCGAGGACATCATAAAAATTCACGAAGTCCAATGTCACAGTAATGTCAGTCGTAGCGAAAACCGGCTTAGATTTGTCATACGATTTACATGGGCCAGATATAGCGACGGACTTAATACAGCATTATCATGGAACCCGAATATTGGAAAATTTTCCAGCCAGAGTGCAACGACACGCTGCCCCCGAGATCTAAGACACCAAAAATTTCCATTCGCTCGGTCACCCTGAAATGGTCATTCTGTTAGATCCTTTTGATACAGTCCTGTGGCACCACAATTTGATAATGGTAATTTTAGTGTTACTCTGCATTTTATAATGCTCAAATTAAAAGTTAAATTGATTCGAGAAGTTCGAAGGGTAGTCTAAATTTTGTAGTTTTGGGGTGCAGATTTGTGCTCCGAAGTGGGAACGGGACTGTACCGTCTTTTGCAGTTGCAATTTTTGTGATTTTAGAGTTTTGTAATTTCATAATATTTTGGTTTTGTAATTTTACAATTTTGTAATTTCATAATTTTGTAATTTCATGATATTTTGATTTTGTAATTTTATAATACTGCAATGTTGTAATATTGTAGTATTGTAATATTGTAATACTGTAGTATTGTAATTTTATAATATTCTATTACTGTACTATTGAAATATTGTAATATTTTAATATTGAAATATTGTAATTTTATAATATTGTATTACTGTAATATTAAAATATTGTAATTTTATAATATTGTATTATTGTAATATTGAAATATTGTAATATTGTAATATTTTAATATTGAAATATTGTAATTTTATAATATTCTATTACTGTAATATTGAAATATTGTAATTTTATAATATTCTATTATTCTAATATTGAAATATTGTAATTTTATAATACTCTATCATTCTAATATTGAAATATTGTAATTTTATAATATTCTATTACTATAATATCAAAAAATTCTAACCTTACAATACTACAATCTCACAATTCTACAAAAACAAAACATTCACCAAAAGGTACATTAATAATCCCACGCGCGGATCACGTTTTTCCTTAGCAGCGACCGCATCGAAGCGCAACGAAAGGTTTGACAGAGCCGTGGAAACGCGACTATGATGTACGACGTGCCGAGATAGTAAGATGTAGCGCGTGTCACAATCCAGTCTCCGACCGTTTAAAAAGTCGGGAAGGTAGGACGCACTTTTGAACGGAGGAATACGCGTCGCTGATCTCCGATAAAACGGTCGCCGCGACCGTAGCCTAACGGGATAGCCTCGATAAACTTTGGTTATACGTTGTTACGAAGCCACTCCCAACAATACCGATGCTGACTTTTTGCATGTGTACCGACCGTACGTCTCGGTATGCGTACGCGAGACGTCTACGATAGCGGGGCGCATAATCGACCCAATTCGACTTATCCCAGTTTAAGACAGGTTTCAACTATGCTCGGAAAAGAACGTTCAGCGAAGCCCAATTAGAATATTTGCAAACGTCAGTCATTTCCTTCGTTTATCAGGCCCGATTCTTTTATTGCGGCTGTGCGGCCAGACCTTTCACGCTAATTAGAGTGATTCAACTTAACTTGACGAGTGAAGATCCTAAACTGCTCTCTTCCTCTGTGAAGTGCATACAACAAAAATTTGCTTATTCGAGAGAGGTACTTACAATGATACTTTTGCAATAGAAGTTTATAGCGTCATTGTCAAACGATTGATTTGTACTGTGTATGGTAATGCGGTTACAGTTAACATCGAAGATTTTAAGAACTAGGGAAAAACTTGTGAAATAGTTGTTCTCTTGTTTGGGAATGAGTAGATTCGAGATAGTTACGAATTAAATGAAGTTAGTGATAAATATTTATTATAATATACCTTTTGAAGTGTTTACATTGACATTTGCATTTCGAAAGATAACTTAATTCATAATATAGATTTATTTGTTCATTTTGGGATTGAAGAACTGAAAATTCTGTTTTGATGTCGAGAATTACAAATTACAAATTATGATTTATAAATTTCAACACAGGAACTACAAATTACAAATTACAAATTACAAGAGACGAATGTTTTGTAAATGTTAAAACCTTTCATTCACCACAATCGCACTGGATCACTGATATTTTAATTAATTGTTATACGTTCGATCGAACCTCGTCAAACCTGTCAACTCCTCCTCTCGACCCTTATTTCATTAATATCTTATCCACATACCGGTTTAAAATCTGAATAGACATAAATTATGAATATCATTGACAAGGCTCAACAGGATCCATGCGACAAACCTGGTAGTAGTCCACAAGGATCACACCGTTTCTCTCCATTCTTCCATCCGACTCTGCTTTCCAAGAGCGTTGGCCGACCGATTATCATTAAAAGTAGAGCGTTAGTTAACAGACTCAATTAATACACGTGGGTGAACGAGTCTCGTTTGCCGTGGACATGCAAAAAGTCGTTGAACATTTCCTGCAGCCGGCTTTCGTAGCGAAGCTGACACGTGTCCTAGATGTAACATTATAAAATTAGGCGATGCTCGTGTTTGTTTAGTTTTATAAAACGCTGCGCTACATAGACAACGTACTCTAATCCGATATTTGATCGCGGTTACCGATCGTACACCGATTTATATGGTGTGCTAAAAAAATAAAGGATTCTACGCGAGGAAACGAGTGAAGAAAAAGGAGTGAAACGTTATTCCTTCAGAGCTGCGCTCTATTTTCGGAAATAATATTAATATCATATGAATGAAGTCAAACTATACTTAATTATTAATATTTATACCATTCTATTCGATATTTTCCTTCTTTCCTTAAATGCAAGCTTCTCTTTGAATATTTTTACTTTTACATTAACGTGAACTGTCAAGTATAATCTACTTAGTTGACGACATTTTCACTAGTTCTCCAGTAGATAAAATAACGAGCAAACATAGTAAACATAACAAACGTCCATTTGGAACGTAGGCCAAAGTAAAAGTCCATTGTAAACATTTTACCGAAACAACAAACATAACGCAGAAGCGAGTTAATAGAATTTCACGCGTAAAACATTCAGGGGTTCTCGTAACTGAGAAGCACTGGCCGTGCCTCGTGTGTCGGCTAACTACGTCGTGTTTTTAATTGAAAATAAAAACTGCGTTATAGGTTGCTTTGATGGTTTCCGTGCGAAAAGGGTTTCCCTGTTGCACGGCGTAGTTAAATTTCCCGTGGCTTTTCACGGTGAAAAAAGTGCCCGAAAAATTGCTGCGAGAATATTCTCCTCGATTTCAAGGTAGTTCAACAAGTTTAACAATTCAATTTCTCAGAAACCGAGAGTGAAACACGGCAAAGTGCAAAATAGAATACACCGACAACGAAAAGAGGCATGAAACATCCAAAGTGTATTATTTCTCCCAACATTCGTTAGGAAAATCGATTTCCTATCGTAACTCTGTTTTCCCAACTATATTTTCAAAAACTTGCAAAGAAAAACGGACGTCAGATTTGTAATCGGCACTCGAGAGCTTCTGATCAGAGCGGAACTTCGATTTTTAACCGTTCGAGTGCTGAGGAGCGCTATAATTTTCTTACTAGGTTTTCAAGCAATAAATCAAAGTAAATTTATTTGCATAAATGTTACTTTTTGATATTTCTTTTGTAACAACACAATATTTGTGATCTCATTAGATAGCTATTAACCCTTTGAACTCTGTAGGCGCCAATATTGCAGCAGTTATGATATAAAATATTTCAATGAATCTTAACACTAGAACTAGTCAGTAATTCAATCAGATTTCCTAATTTCCCTATAGAAACTCCAATATTGTCTCTGTTGAGATTTCAATCGATTTATAATTTAGTTTGCGTACTTTTAAATAAATTTCATTACTCATTCCCCTAGGAAGCATCTGTTCGGTAGTTCTAGTGTCAAAGAAACTACCCTAAAATTATTAGATTCTCCGCACATCCAAATTTTGCATTGAGAAGTAAAATAAAAGATCGAAGAAATGCAGCATTTCTCATTTTCGCTGGGAATGCTATAAAAATTAGTTGCAGTTGCTGATAGATCACAAAACAACCCGGAGTGTTAAATCTTATTAACTTTTTCCATACACACCCAATCACTTCCGCATGTTTGGCACACACCCAGAAGATTTGTTTACTCAAACGGTTAAAACGGAATGAAATTTGAACTGCATCTCTCGCTCGAGATTAAGGTCTACGTCGAAACGCGCACGGGCCATCGCCTTAAAATAAACTGTTTGTAAACATGTAACGACAAAGTTGATGATACGGCGTTATATAACCTTGACAGCTGGAAAGACCTCTGGCAAGACCTCCGCGGAATCACGAGACGCGGGAAAAGAAAGTACCGGCGGCGAGCATTGGCCTGAATATGCATACGTATGTTGGCCGAAGATCGGAGATACCGTTAGCGCGACGTTAAAACCGCGCCGCTGTCAGGGAAATCTAAATTGTCGTAGAAAACCGACCGTCGGTGGAAAAGGTGTCGCTCGTGAAGCCTCATCCAGTCCTATCTACGCGTGGGACACACCTCTCGCAATTTATGTGCGAAAGCGTGTCCCCGCGGTCCTCTTTTGTCCCGAGGAATGCCTAGGAATGCCTAGGATCGTCCAAGAATGTCGATTCACCGACTGTGAATCTTTTCTAATGGCAGTTCCTTATTCGTCGTTTTCTATTGGTGCTCCTTGGAGACAGGCCAGAGGGTTCGATTCTGCTGGAAGCATTCGCAGGATAAGATATGCATCGTTATTTCGTTGTGCCATCCTCGTTGATCCCTGGGCAAGGTTAATTTCGCATCTACGGAGACAATGGAATTGATACAATGTGAAGGTTAGACTGTTGACCCCTTGCTTTCTGATTTATTTCTTATGATTTATTATATCCCAACTGACTGGTATGTGTTTTATACCTTGTTAATGGTTTATTGAGAAGACACGTTCTGGGCATATCCCATGTAAAAGTTAGATTCCGATAATGAGTTAGTAATTGATAGTAATGAATTATTGTTAAGAATTGATTTACGATTTATTTCTCAACTGATTGGTATGTGTTTTATACCTTGTTAATAGTTTATTGATAAGGAAGACACATTCTTGGCATATCTGATGTAAAGTTAGCTTCCGATAATGAGTTAGTAATTGATAGTAATGAATTATTATTAAGAATTGCTATTAATAATTAATATTCTACAGTATAATTAATGATGACAGTTAAATAATATTTCATTTGAATTCACCTGAATTACGTTTCCCTGTTTTCACATTAAAAAATCGTAAATAACGCAATCGTTCTGTTTTCCACTTCTAAGCGCGAATTAACAAAGATAAAAGTAGGTAATTAGAAGGAATACAAATAAATAAACTTCATTAGATTCTACGAACCGATAGAGCGGCACTTTTAGCTAGTGTAACGGAGAATGTTTAGCATTCAAACGTTTAAGCTTATTTACTCTACAAATATAGAGTTCTCTTGTTTTAATTAGTGCACGTAATTTATAAGTAGAAACAAAAATAAAAAAACTATTGCCAGTTAAACGTCTCGGATCTATGAAGTTAGCAGGGTATTCCGAGCTGTGATGCAAACGGGTTAATTAGTTAGCTGTTACGACCTCTTTATAAAGTGTGTATCTAAAATATGCCGTGAAAAGTAAGTTAGCTGTTTTTAGACGAGTATACTCGCCAACACGAAACCTTGTTTCCTCGTGACGAGTATACTCGTCGAGAACAGCTAACTGGTTAAACGAAACCGATAAGATTGGACGTAACAAGCTTACGCTCGACAATTAGTACCGGTTGAAAGTTGAAATAGAATGAACCGGACGTTCAAGGCCACTTCGACTTTAAATCATATCAGGCTCGACTGTCTGTGAATGGCTGAAAGGAGTAGTTCTGTTTGTCACGGTGATCTTATGTACGATATTAATTGCCATCAGGATTTCTCTAAACGGATTTGGTGATCTAGATTTATTATTGGTACCACTTGTTTGAAATAAGTCTTTGGATATAAAGTTTCCACTGAAAAACAACCTTGTCCATTTCCAGCAATACGTTTAACCAGTTAACGGTCTTCGACGAGTATACACGTCGTCGTAAAGCTTGATACTAATTCTTTCAGCGATGAATTCATTTTTTCACATAAACACGTAATTCTTTGCTTCGACGAGTGCACGCTCCATTTTTTTATTTCATTGCGCGCAGAACGAGAGGTTTTTCCAACTAAATTCCACAGTTAACTGGTTAATAAATCTGCAAGAGTTCCGATGGCGAACGTCTAAAAACCGATGAGTTTGAAGATTGATAGTTTATAAAAGACTTCAGGATCCTGTAATTTCATCGCAGAGTTTGAGGGGAATACGTGACCGTTGTCACTGTAAATTTAATTACCCGAACGGTTCGCTTCGTCAATGGTGCCGGATGCATAAAAGCGTGATGAATTTCACGGAACGTCGGACGTTCGGACGTATCGAAACGTGACGCGTGCACTATCAGCGCCGCGGCGGAAGCGATGAAAAACAGTAGAAGAGGAATAAATGGGAAATCGAAGTTTTACACGAATGAGATACTGTTATCTATCACGAACGTGGATTTTTACGTTTTCTCTTGGCTCTCGTGTAGTCCGGCCGACCGGTGCCCGAGCGTTCCTTTTTCGTCTTTCGCCGGCGATTCAGGGGCTCGCCGTGTTAAGCAATAATCGGTTATGTTCGTTTAATTAACACATCGACACACTTTTTTAGCCGCGGTTCACCGACCTTACTCCAGTTGGTCTTCTCGTCCGCCGATGTCCTGAATCAAGATGTCGGGCCGCCACGGAAACGCTGTAGGGGCCGCGAGTCGACGGTGAGGCTTAAGGCGAAATTCATAACGGTACACTCCCGATTGACCTTAGCTATTGTTGCGGCCGTACACCATGCGCAATCGATAAGCTAATCAACGAATAGCCTGAAAAGAAGAATGCATTATTCCAGTTGCCCTCTATTGAAGCCTGTTATCATAACGACGCGTTGTTTTGTGTTACGAATAGCAATGCGATCGGTATTAAGCAATAACGTAACCGGTGGTGCACGAACTCTGATAAACAATTTCAATTGGACTACAATGTGTTCGAACCGTGCAATGAGTTTTCGCTAATTTCCGTTGTTGAACATCGGATAGTGCGTAATAAATGGCGGCCACGATAGAAATCTGCGTTACAAGTGATATTTCGTTCGAACTGGTATTAGTTCAGTTCGACGTAATTTCACCATTTTTCAATTTATTTCCATGTTGATTCTATTCTTTATACACTAATTGTTTTTGCATTTACTGAGAGCGATTTAAACATTAAACACAGCAAAAACCACGGAAGTGTTAAGGTTCCCAAGAATTTTGGTAATTTTTAATAAGATCAATGTCCTAACCGTGAATGACGAGTATACTCGTCGCGAAGAAACGAGAATGTTTGCCACGAGTACATACATTGTTGATTTTTTAAACAAAATCAGCGTTATGTCTCTACGATTTAATTCAGTTTTACAAAAGCAGCAATCTGCGTTTGACGAGTATAATCGTGATCAAGCTGTTTCAGACATAATGTAGATACACATTAAAAGACGGCACCGTAGCTAAGAGGTTAATGCGTTTCTGTGAGTACGGTATCTGTTGCGCAACACTTCGCGACCGTTCGTGAAACGATTACATTTGCGGATAGCGCTGGTGTACACCGAACGTAAGACAATTCGAAGCTCGACCATTTGTGAACCGTGTACTAAATGATTCCCCACGTGCCGACTGAAATTTTCCGAATGTAAATGTCACGGTGAATTCAGTTAATCCGGAAATCAATTATACATAATCGCTGGCAACGTTTAAAAATAATTATAAGGCTAATTCCGGGTGAGATGAGTCTACTTATCAGTTTTCTTTTTAATTGTTTATTTTTTACTCGCTTAGGAAGACAAGTGGATCGATCGTGCCGTTTAGAATTTTTTCTTTGAACTTTGAACTTTGTATAATCTCGATACGTGAAACATTGTAATAAAATAGCTTTGTTCCTCAATGCACTTGTGATTTCCTTTCGAGTTTCAAAGAACATCATCTTCCTTGAACAATGTTAAATATTTCTAGTAAGAAACTTCCAAGTGCAAAGGGTTGATACGCGTTTCACTTATTTTGCATTGTTCTGTATAACAGATCTTTCTCTATGATAATATTCTAATTTCCTAATAATGGGCGTGCTGCTGTATAATTCGAACGAGGTTCCACTGAAAATTCACTTGTTTACATTCGTATGTAAAATCTAGGTGATCCAGTTATACGCGAACGACACTAATATGAATGCCCGCGGCGAAAAAGTTAGTTCTACTATGTTTGTGGTAACATTGTTATTATCGGGTCGCCTCGAAATAGACCGCTAGAGTAATGAACACGCAACTCGCGTTAAAATGAACATTGTTACGTTCATTCGAGAGCGATTTCGCAGTTCTCCGGCGAGCAATGTAATCTCCGAGTTGCATCGTCTGTTCCGCGCCATAAAGAACGGTTTTCTACCGATCTGGTAAAGAAGGTGAAGGTCGCGTGGATGCGAATCTGCCGCCGTGGGAACAGAATCTCATCGCCTTGGCGAGGATTTATCGTTTAACTTCGATAAATATATATTCTGCGTAATGGCACGATATTAATTCCGCGCGTGTTACGTGCATCTTATCGAAATGCATACATCGCCGAGCATTTACCGGCGATGTACAATTGTTTCTCCCGCGACTCTTTCCTACGCTGCGTAATTGCACCTGCTTAATTGCGAATATTTTCGCCGTTTATCCTCGATTAATCCTTAACCTTTAACACTCGATTCACGGACATTTACCGTACGGTTTGCTCCGTCGTTCGTGGAACAACTGATGTTCAGTTAGAGCTTGGTAATTAGACGATTAACATATTTCCGTGAGTGCATCGATCAAAAGCGACTGAAATATTTATCAAATGCTTGTGAAATTCGATATGAGACTATAAAGGCGACAAAGGAATTCAAACTGTAGAAATGCGTGCTATTATGTCTTATTACAATGTTTCAAACCTTCGAAGAGATCTTCAGTAATTAAGAGATACGTGTTACGTGTCGTTTTTTATTTACCGAGGAACATAAAGCACGTGAGCATTGTAGAAATTGCAATGATGAGGATCGGCGAATGATGTTAGACAAATATGCTCAACACTTGTGTAACATTGTTCAGATAATTGTTACATTAACACTGTGCGAATTCAGCTGCATGGAAATTTAGATGCTGCGAGAGCAAAAATTCACCTGCAACTCGACCGCAGTGTCGCGCGTACTCGGTGAACCGTATAAAGTGTTACAAGCTGATTGCTTTGAAGTTTAAACAATAGCGAACATTGACCTTATTTTTTTTGTCTACTCGAATGGCACAAGAGATGTTCAGTTTCAACGGAGTGGAGTTTCAATTTCTTTTCTTGCGGCTAACTTTTAACTGACTGAATAATATTTCCTTAAGCCGTTTTCAGTCATTTTGCATAGTAAAAAGTTTGAACGATAGGAAATTCTCAAGGGCGACTTCGTCGAGCCAACGAGGAACGGCGACTACCACGTTTATATAATCTTTCACGAATGCTCATAAGCCGAAGTAATAAATGAGAGTGAAGAGTGTAATATAAGTTTGTTCATAAGCTCGTGGGAATATTCCTTTATTCGTGTAACTGTTGTTAAAAGTTCTGTTTAAATTACTGACTACTTCGAGATCATTCGTTTCGAATAACTTTGTTTCCATAGTCGTTAATGTTTGTTAAAATGTATTTGAACGAAGAAGTTAATGCACCGAGTGATTCTTATTACACCATCTACGACAAACTGAAGTATGGAGAAAAGAATCCAACATTTTTGTAAGTCCACGCTTCCAACAATTTTGCTGCGTTTAGAAAAAATGTAAAAATGTGAAACAATATTTATATTATAAATATAATATATATATTATATTTATTCAGTTTTCAATATTATTACTTAAAATATTAAATACTTAAATATTATTCGCTAATACATTCGTGACTTCATATGACTTCCGAAAATTTATAGCTGAATACTGCTGTCAATGCTGAACTACATTTGGAAACGACGTAGAATTAAATGACCGGCATTCTAAACATGGTTAAAAATGACGTAGAACTACGTCACCAACGTCCTTCTAAACAAAACTGACGTAGACCTAAGTTACCAGCATTCTCCCCAAAAAGGTTAAAAATGATGTGCATTTACAACTGAATACTACCGTCAACGCTTAACTGTAGATTTCGAAATGACGTAGGATAAAGTGACATTCTTCTAAAAAGAAGGCTAAAAATAACACAGTGCTGCCTTTCTGGTATTCAGCGAAAAATTGAAAATGACGTAGCACTGCGTTACTAGTCCGAAACATGTTAATACCTCGAGAAATGACTTTCTACCGATTTGCTTCACTTTCTGCCGGTCGTTCCGAAATTCACCGTGTACGCGGCATCGTTAGCGAAAATGTTGCTCGTGTTGCGAGAAGAAAGCAGCAGGGACGACGAGTAAACGAGCGATAATGCGTTCGATGAATACGCAAAAATAAGATGCCTCTGTACGGTAAGGCCAGGTTCGTCAGGATGAGTTGTATTAATAACAGACATATTATGAACCGGCGGTTCCGAGAAACGATTACATTTTTCCTCGACGGGAGATCGACTGGTACGAAGAAAAAGAAGTTAGGACTGCTTAGAGTCGATTTGACTTGCATGACCGTGTAGTATGATAATCGCCGGGCTGAACTTACCTGACAATATGTGGTCCCAATTTGGCCGTTCGCGATTCTGCCGAACCGAGGATTGTTGCAATGCTAACGCACACCGTTCCAAATCGCGCCACCGATCGTGCGGATCGATAAGAGGAAGAGGAATGTCATTCACCGTTGCGAAAACGAATACATTAACCCTGAAACGTTCGTGCGCGCAATAAACTTTATGAAATAACAGTGAAATTATTTTCTTACGCGCGACACAAAGGAAAGCGAAACAATAAATGTCCGCCGGAGTGATATACATAGTGTTCGCATGTTGCATCAGTGATATAACACGAAAACACTGTTTTCCTTAGGAACAAGTTTAAATAGCTGGATTTAATGTGTTTCTTTGGAAACGCGTTTTAATGTCGAATGGAGATAAAATGTCGAATTGTATTAGAATGTCGCGTTAGAACCGTGATTTTCAACAATTATGATATAACACGAAAATACTGTTTTTCTTGGAAACGAGCTTGAATAGCTGGAATTATTACATTTATTTCAAAACGTGTTGAAATATCGAATGGAGGTAACAATACTGAATTGTATTGGAATATTCCGTTAGAATTTTGTTTCTCGAAAAACGATTACGATTGAAATGTTCGAAGTGTACATGGGAATGGAGAAGTGTTCGTATGACTAAGAAACAAAGTAGCGAATATCTAAGTCATTCTATTAGTCCAATGAAACTTGAAAGTAATACCATAATGACAGTACCTAGCGGCAGTGTTATTGAATACTCGGAACTTCTCAGAAAGGAAGAATGTGTAGTTGTCCAATTAAGTGACAACGAGAATGACGTTTCTGATGCAGTGCAATGTAACGCGAAAGTTTCTTTATTCGACAAATAATTTTTTAACGCCCGCAATAGAAAATGGCTCAGAGGTCAGGTGATCACGTTATTGTTCAGTTTTCGTCAACGCGAACTGTGGAAAATCAATTCGCTTACTGATCCTGGCCGCTAACAGTCAAGGGCGGCCTCGGTATATATAAGGTGATCCACTTAAAATCAGTTTTTTGTAATGTGCAGGAATGAGTATCATTCAGATAGTTGAGACCGGTATTAGTGGGATCAGTTTTTCCGAGATGCGAGTGCAGATCTGCCCACACTTTTAAGTAGATCATAAGTAAGGCAGCGAGTATCAATGCACGTTCCAGTTTCTCGCGAATACCTCGGAAACTACGCGAGACCGCTAATTATGTATCTAGGAGAAAGTAACTCGAAATGTTCATTTTTACAACATATCAAAAAATCATCGAAATCTAAGAGGAAGCAGTTTTCCTGCAATTTTGTCATTTTTATTTGTAGGCAGTATTTCAATCGAGAAAGAGACGATGCTAATGGTTTTAATAAGTCATCTACATATATGGGGAGAATAATTATGTAAATAACATGTACCCAAGTATAAATTTTCTAGTATAATAAAAAAGCTTGCGAAGATTACATACTATCGATTAAATATTGGCTCGTTTCACAAAACCAGCGGGTATGGTATAATTTATGGATGATTTTGCACGTATTTGTCAATGACGAATGGAAAAGAATAATTCTAACAGATAAAAATTAATATATTTTTTAAATATATTAATTTAAAATAAATTAAAATATTTATGTTCGCAGTATAGTCTGTCCAATGAATCGAGGTAGTAAACATTAAAAAATGTGCGTAAATAACTTAAATGTGACTAATTGAAATCATACGTGTATTTAATAATTAATGTGTAACGTGTAATCAATAACCGTAGGATTTATATTAATATTAACTTTTATTTAAACGTACAAAGTACGAGAATCTCTATGAGTAATGTAATAAAGTTTTGAACCCCTTTCCCAAATACAAGAAAAAGTAATAGCAAGAGCGAATAAGAACTTTCTTCGACATGTGGGAATGATTGAATACTTTCTCCAGTTAATGTGTTACCCTTTTAGTCTGTTTCACGCATAAACGTGAATTTCTATTATAACGTTAGTATTGCATACACCTACTCGAATAACTTTCTCATTCCATTTCTTTTCATTGTTGGTAAAATTATTTGCTGCATTTAATACATAAATAACTGGGTAACACCATAGCTAACGGCTGAAGTTACCAATTCTCATAAAATTCTGTAGAAACGCACATTTCGAACAATTTCTTTCGACACTTAATATAAATTAATTATTCAAACTTAAACATTCGATTTGTTCCTTCGTAATTCAATTGTCCCAAATTCTTAACGATAACATCAACGAGCACAATCACGAACAAAATGGCACAACATGTTAATAGATCATCACTCGATTTAAAATTCCTCCATAACATATAAACTCATATAAAAACAATGAATAATTTCGACATTAATCCATATGCAACTAACAACTGTTATTCAGAGTGAAGTTTCATCGAACCGATACACAGCGGATCGACCGCAGAATTAAACAAGAACGAAGTCGCCGATTAATTCACTTGTCCCAATGAAAAATCCAGACGAAGTTGCCAATTAATCTTTCGAATCGAACGGTCGCCGGTTAAAATACAGATTGATGCCTATAACGAATCGATCCGGGACTCTCCGGCCACCCTATGTAGGTTGAAGCCCTACTGGAAGTTCCGAAGTTGTTTCTGGGACAGTGGTTTTAAAGTTCGCGTACACGATAGTTTTGAAGCACGGAGTTAGAAGATCTAGCGACGGTTTCTATAACTTTCGGAAACTCGGCCAAACTTACGCATCAGGCTCGCCGTATATCTAGACAGTAGACATTAACAAATGAATCTCTCCGCGGGAGATCCAGTAAATACACGCTGCCAAAGTGTAACTTTTATTCGTTTGTCCAAGAACGTTTTCCCTCCCACCGAACCGACCGCTAAAACCTCGGATGCAGTCATCTTGATTGTTTCTCTTTCTAACGTTGTAATAACGGTTAATTAAGGACGTGATGATTCAATGAAACAGCATTTAACATCCGTGCTTTCTTAAAAATAAGCGTGATTCCGAGGAATTCGTTTGCGGTCGAAAATAATTCTATATCCGGCCAGATTCGAGATCCGAGAAAGTGATAACGGCATGGTTTTACCGTAGCGAGACATATATGGTGTTATCAACGCGCCGCGCAACTACAAGCTGCATTAGCACTCTGCGAATTTCCATGGAAACTCAGATTCTACGAGAGCAACAATTTACTTGTAAATACCGCAGTGTTACGTACTCGGCGAGCTATATAGCGTTACTTATTTTTTTCTATTCGATTTTGTTTCTAACACATTGGCTAATTTTCGGAAAACTGAATTGTGCGGATGGCAATTTTCACTGTCAACTTACATTACTATACATAGAAAAACTCGGATATCATATTGTTATGTGATATATTTTAAATAGATAATCCGAATTAAATTTTATATTTTTTCAATGCTGTGATAATTAGCGAGTCGCTGAGTGTCTTTATGTAAAATCGAGATTTCTCGTTACGTGGTGTTCAATTTTATTTAATTTCTTGCCCCGTGGCGATCTTTTAACTGAATAATATTCGCTTCAGCCATTATCAGTTTTAACGAGACGTATTCAGTATTATCAACGTGCTGTGCAAGGAAATTATTAATAATATTCACCGATGACACTGTCAGAAATATTCTATATACCACAAGTTACATCACGCCGACGTACACGGTGCGCCCATTGCAATTCTAAAATTCTAAGACGGGACGCTAATTTCGGAGGAGTATATCAGTCCTAACGATATGAAAATCCTAATCGAATCATTACGCCGAGGCGATCCCACTCAATGTGAGTTTAGCATTGTTTTCCAAGCTTTAGCGTGCAGCCATGCGAGCATTACGCATCGGTGTTCATCGGAACAAAATAAATGCTTCCGCAATGCATAGCAATCTCGGCGTCGACCGCGGAGAGGAAGAAACCAATTTGTTCGATGCTTCGGAAATCACTGACGCACACGGTATCTATGCTTCGCGGAGACTTCAAATAAAGAAACCGAAGGTAGAGAGTTCGTAAACTCGCCGACCGTTCTAACCGCTTGCTTATTTCGTGTATTATGAGATAAATAAGGAACGGCTGATTTTTATAATAATGCTCATTACACGCGTGCAACGGACAGTTTTGTACAGTTACGGTGTAACTGTAATATTATTAGAAGAACCCTGGCAACCGCTGTAATAATGTCTCATGCCGATGGTACTTTCTTCGTCGAGTAAAATTACTTAAGAAAATAAATTCGTTAACACGTTGAATGCCGCGGGGTCACCGGTGACCTCCACGCAATTCGAGTTACTGTAGTTCACTCAATTAAACGATGGTTATATGAAAACATTTCTATATTATAAATAATGCTACTTAATATGACATTCAGCTAGACGAACATGGAATAGTAATGCAATTCGATTAAATGATAATATTACATTTTTTCCATTCTGTATATTTTCGTGCGTTAATCCTCGTTTTCGTAAATCAATATAATCTATGGTAATTATTATTAGTATTTAGTGATAAAAATCGAACGATGCAAGTATATTATTGCTTATTTTTAAAATTCTGTTTATATGTTGTTCCTTATTTTGAAACGAAGCTAAGAAGCTGTATTTTATTTTCCTTCGCAGCTTCATGTTATTTTGCAATTTAAAATAATTGAATTTCTCAAAGATAATTGAGTCCCCTGTATTGTACGAGATGGCTGAAGTTGAAATAAAGATTAAAGTCACAGTGCTTCGCCTTTCTCGTTGTGATGCATTCTACTTTCTCTTTCATTCGACGTTGTTTTGTCATTCGCTTCTTCTTTGTATTTTACTTGTTTACACTCTCGGTTCTGTATTTCACTTTTATGTAACCCGTGCAAAATGATGGCAACAAAACTGCCGAATACAAAAGAAAACTGTTAAACTTATGTCATCTAAGAATAAATGGTAAAAACTGTTATCCACTGTTTTCGGTGAAAATCATGATGTTCCATTTTCAACGAAGTACTGATTCGATGTCTCGCGACGAGAAAATCCAAGTCGAACTTAATTAACACGAGTATTATCTCGTTTCTCATAGATTCAAAGGGAATTCTATTTTAACGTTGAATATCGTCGTTACAAATATCGAAATTTTATATAATTTGTTAAAACAGAGATTACTGAGATTTAAATCATTCTAGCCAGACCTCAATGTCAAATAAATCATTCGAATAAACGGAAGAAACTAATATTCATACTTTACCTAAAAATTTTATTTAAAAATTACCATTAAACAGTGGCATTTTTAAAAGCAACGACACTCCGTTAAAACCCGGTTCAAAATCACTGCAGCGTGCAATAAAGGAAAGCGGCACGCGTGACGTTTTGCCATCTATCCGCAGATATGATAAAAGCTTTTTTACGAAACTGTCCCGATAAGCCGGCAAAAAATTCAGCAATAAGAATTGAGAAACTGCTGGAGTAGTGTAGGTACACCGAGTCGGTTAATCCCCTCGTATCTGTAGATAGAGATACACCTGACCCTCAATTTACGCGAAAATCCGTTATACGTGGATTCGTTTTACGCGAATGAAAATCGCGTATAAAGAGCCCGTCAGTACAAGAAAGAAAGGAAATATTAAAAAGAAAAAGTGGTATAAGTTTCTGAAGCACATATTCATTTCACGTAATCAAACAAAAGAAATAATAATAATGCCATTTTAAAACGAGGTGTCAGTAAATTCAGATGCATGAAAAACCGCGTAAATGGTGTTCTACTGGGTAACGGAAACAGTTCGTACGGTTTTCTCGTTGGCGATGTAACCAGGCGCAATTTCAATCGGTATTTCATTAATAAATGGAATTGTTATTAACGACTTACCTTTATGCCGTTGGCGTCGAATAAAATATAATTATTCCTCGAGAGCATTCTGTATTTACATTTTGATTAGGTTAGGAATGAGTCGAGGTCTGATTTCAATCGGTATTTCATTAATAAATAAAATTATTACTTACGACTTACATTTATACCGTAGATATCAAATATAATAAAATTATTCTAAAAAATATTCTCTACGTTGAAATTTTGATTCGAAAACCCGCACAAACTTTAATGGTTATATTCTAAATATAATAAAATTTGTTTACAACAAATATTCTCTACGTTTAATTCTAGAACTACCAGATGGGTCAAAATTACCTATTCCTCATTTCTTTAATTATTGAAAGCATATAAATGCTCCTTCGAGGAATGATTAAAATAGATTCATTAATATACAGATTAAAATATGACTCAATGGACATCTTAATCAACGGACTTCTACAGTTCCTATACAAAAATATTTAAAAATCAACTGTTCGGTAGTTCTAGTGTTAAATTTCGACTCAAGAACCTGCACAAACTTTCTCCGGGTATTCATATTTCAAATATAATAAAACACAATAAAATTATTCTACAAAAAATATTCTCCACGTTGAAATTTCGAGCGAAGAACCTAACCTGCCTAATAATCCGCACGCAGAGAGGAGACTCGCGTAAAAAAAGCCCGCGTGAATCGAGTGCACTCCTCCTCAGTTCTAACGTGAAGGGTGTTACTTACCGCTGATGTGGAATCGCCGATTTTCGGCAAATCAGGCGGGACGTCTGCACGCGTACACGGGAAAAGGAAGAGAAGATAATCGAAACGCGAAGCGACGGAATGGAAACGAGAAAGAGAGGGCGAAAGAGGTAGGGAGAGGGTGTTTAAATACGAGGAGAAACGCGCGTGCTCCTTCAGTCCGGCGCAAACAGTCCAAACCGATTCACATCCGGACTACGGCGCAAACAGTCGAAACCGATTCACATCCGGACTCCGGTGCAAACAGTCGAAACCGATTCACATCCGGGCTCCGGCGAAACGAGGGAAACTCGTCCTGCCCGTTCTCGAAACCGACTCTCGATCGGGAGCGTCTTATGAAAATATCGATTCCGAGAGGCGGGAAGAAGATCAAAGATTTCGGTACGAAACGAGAGAAGCTTTTTCGGGGAACGCGGGAACCGTGCTGGGGCTCGACAGAGAAACTGAAAGTGGCGGACAACTGTTTTGCAACTGATTACAGAACAGTGAATGTGGTAATGTGTCAGTGAAAAGTTTGACGGAACGGAAATCGAGAAGAAGTGACGGGAAATAGGAGAGGCTCCAGGGAAGATACAGAATGACAAACAGCATGAAGCAAACGGTTATTAAGTGAGTTTCCATTTGTGCATGTGATAATTAGATGAATGGGGAAACTCGTTGGGATTTTATTGGTTGATTGATACGGGTATCGGTGATGGTCGATGACGATTTGCATTGTTGCATTTTGGTTAGGATTTGCTTTCCATTTGTGCACGCGATGATTAGATGAATGGGGAAACTCGTTGGAATTCGATTGATTGAATGATACGGGTATCGGTGATGGTCGATGATGATTTGGATTGTTGTATAATGTATATTTAGATGGAATTGTTGTATTTTAGTTAGGATTTGCTTTCCATTTGTGCACGCGATGATTAGATGAATGGGGAAACTCGTTGGAATTCGATTGATTGAATGATACGGATATCGGTGATGGTCGATGATGATTTGGATTATTGTATAATGTATATTTAGACGGAATTGTTGTATTTTTGTTAGGATTCCGTAGCAATTGAGTTATTATGATTATTATGATTAATTTAGTTATTGTTATCATGATGTATGGCACTGTAGATGATTTTGTGATCTATGAACAACTTGGTGCCATTTTTATGGTACCCCTAGCGAAAATGGAAAATGTATTATAATATTTCCTAGATTCTTTTATTTTTCCCTTTTAATGTAAAATTTGGATGTGTAGAAAATTCAATAATCTTGGGGTAGTTTTTATGATACCCCTAGGAAAAATGAAAAATGTATTATAATATTTCCTAGATTTAAAAATTTTTCCTTTTTAATATAAAATTTGGATGTGTAGAAAATTCAGTAATTTTGGGGTAATATTTTTTTAATTTATTCATTAATATATTTACATAATACTATGTATGGTATCATAGTAGAGGCTATAGAGTGCAAAAGGTTAGATTCACTGTGGAAATGCCATTTTATAGAAGTTCGTTTAAACCTAAACGTTCTAAGTGAAAAATTTCGGAAAGATTTCGAAGATCCTAAGTTCCTTGAACTTTGTTTTATTTTATGATTCACCGTGTTTTACGCAAGTGTATTTCACAAATGCAGAGACTCCGGTTAACGATAACGCGTTTGTATCTTGGTTTATGTTTTCCATTTTATTCGCGAGACAAATATCGTAGGCAGCAGGTGGCAATTGTTCGAGTAATTCGTAAAAAAGTCATTCGTAAAACCAAGACTCCACGAAGATGTAAACACCGTTTACAGTGAAAATATCACGTGGTTACGTAATTTCATTTACTGGATCAACGTTGTGCCCGTTCGATGAAAGTATTTCCCTTTCACGTTTTACTTCGTTTGCTTCCAGCTCGATGATTTTACATAATGACAACTTTATATAACCGCAGCGAGCACTAGTCGCCGGCGAAACCTTGAAAATTCAACTTAAAAACGAAAAATGTAATCTGCTGCTGTTATCGGATAAAGTTGCTACATTGTTGATAGTTTCGTTATCAAGTGCTCAAGGTGTATCCGCAATAACGAGGATACCAACACGAACGGTTGTCTTTAAATTCCTAAAATCGAGAAATCATTCAAATACTTACAATTAATCCATTATTTCTCTGATTAAATCAACTATTAATCACAACCTCGCGTTGCAGATATTACTCGTTAAAATGATTAAACACTTGCCTCGTTATCTCTTTATCTCAATTACTTCTTCAATAGAGTACATCAACTGACAAGCTAAATTAAAAACATAATAAATCCAACCGACCGTTAGATAGAGAAACGGAATATTAATTTTCCATTATTCATCCGTATTTCCCAGTTCTGAAGTCATCAACGCCTTTCGCTATGGCACCAATTTTCAAAGAGCCTATCGCATCGTCGAGCCACGATACCGAAAGCACATCGACTTATAAATAGACTTCCATTGATTACCGAAAATCTTTCATTGTCGTTTATCGCGGATACATCGGGTGATGTTTATTTATTTCGGATAATGTCTGCGGTCGCGTTGCCTTCTTTGTGGAAAGGACACTTCTCTTTATCTTGTTTGCCTGTTCCGCGCGACAAGCGTTAATAAGCGGCTGGAATGAATGCAGATAACGATCGATACTGTAGCCTGTTCCCAAGAACAATAACAACGACAATAAGAGACGTCCATACGATGCTCCCTTTCGATTTCCACGACTTTGCCGTTAATATCGCCGCGATCGTATTGCACTTGCCCCTCGATCAATCGTGCCAGCCCCGCACCCGTTGCATACGATGATTCTGCATTCACGTCACAACCTTGCATTGTAGCCTAACGAAACTGGTACAATTAATTATGAATTTCGTTTGCACGTGAAATCACGGTGTACTTTCTTTTCCAGGGAAAATGTTGAACATCATCGAATGTATATTACAAATTTCTGATGATATTTAACGATAGGACCACCAGATAAGCTAAAATCATCAGTATAATTTAGCAAACGTGCGTTTGATTAATTATTGAATGATTCGGACTATACAGCAGTACGGAAATGAAATGTCGGTCGAAATTAATAGTTGATCGATCAATCAAAAGTAGTAATAATACCAAACAAAAAATTATTCAAGACTATCAGTTTGAATACTAGTATTAGTAATAATAATAATAATAATAATAGTGGTAGTAATAGTGGTAGTAATAATAATAATAGTAATAATAATAGTAGTAGTAATAGTAGTAGTAATAATAATATTAGTAGTAATAGTAATAGTAGTAGTAATAATAGTAATAGCAATAATAACAGTAGTAATAGTAGTAATAGTAGTAGTAATAATAATAATAGTAGTAGTAATAATAATAGTAATAACAATAGCAATAGTAATAATAATAATAATAATAATAATAATAATAATAATAATAATAATAATAATACAAGACAAAAAATCATTCAAAACAGTCAGTTTGACCACTATCAATAGCAAAAAATATTAGCAGTAATACGAAGCAATGGAACAAAACAATTAGTTTGATTAGCAGTACAAACTTTCGAGTTTCTTGGACTCCATGGAACATATTTGCGTAAGGGATGCACGGCAACAGGTGGGAACAAATTGAAACGGTGATCACCTATTGTGATACAAGGTAAAAATCAAAAGCAGAAGTTTGATCGCGTTAGTTACCTTATCAAATTACCAATAATTATAATCTGCTAATAAAGACGCGTGAGTCGAGTTTCCGCCTTCGACTCTCACGCAGCACGTCCATGTGCGTGCTCGTATCGCTCGTCTCACGCCCGCCACCACCGACGGATTATCATAGTTAAGAGAGTTTTTAAATCGACAATAACTCGAGAACAACACCGCAGTGTTTGCACTCTTGATTTCCGTCGTCCATTATCATGGAGAATGACCCCTTAAACTTCCTCCCTCCCGTCGAACAGTCTGTCGCTGATAGGGGCAGGTACGTGAACAGTGGTTACCTTCAATATTTATTTAATTACTTTTTCTATTCGGTTGTACATAATTATCTTCGATTATTCGAGTAACTCGCCGCGATGTTCGATAATAACGGATCACTTTAGCTTCTAAAATTTCATTACGCATTCTAAATTTTAATTAGATTCCGATGTTCAGTCGCTGAAATTATTGACGATTCATTTATCTGCAGTTAGGAAGATTAATTTATATTTCGCCAGCGGCGTGGATGACCGCTTATAGCAAATGCGTTACTTTTTTCACTAGTTTCAAGTTCCAAGTAGTAAGAAACATTCCGTCATCGCCGAAAGTAATATATTTCTGGCAAAAGTGTGATTACTTTGGTTCGGTTGGAATATATGGGAAAAGTATGTGTTAGGCGTTATAGAGGTGGTTTGTCGCAAACATTTGCTTCTCGTTTTGTTGATATTTATTTTGATATCATTCTGATTGATGAGCTTTTATTGATAATTTCCTTTTTACTTTTCTTAGGAATTCCTTTTTGAATTACGATTAAAAAGGCGTATTAATGGAGATCACGAGTAATTAGGAAAAATGGGTTTTTAAGATATTTGTTACTGTTCGAACAATCTTGGACTCTTTTATTATTTGTATAACGAAAGAGTAGTTTGGAAGAAGGTTCGTTTGAGTTGGTATAGCTCTAAAATATAGCAATGATTTCATGGTCACGTTGTGTCGAATATATACAACGTGTCTTTATATAATAATATCATTTCCCTTCCATTCGGTTCTTAATGTATTTGTACATTTTTTGGTAAATGTAGAAAAATTATTCAACGTTTCGTAGAGCAATTTTGTGACTTCAATGCAGGCCGACTTTGAGAGCGATAAGCACGCCGACCAGGCATTGATGTTACGCGGTATCCATTGTTCTAATCCCAAATTCTGTAAAATGATCGAAATCGATTTGTAAATTGAATAACAAGAATGGCTATACCTGAAAATCGCGATATTTTCGTGTTATCTTTTTTGGTTCAAACGTACAACAACAAAAGCGTAAAAATATTTAATAATAGTTGTTAATAATGTTATCTTAATAAAATATTCCATCAATAATACTATTACATTACCTATAACTTTTGTCAATTAAATTGTTAATTACCTATAACCGTTAAAAATATTCAAAAATTCCATATTTCCAAATACACATAAATTATCAATTTTTACTTATTAACACTCTGTGCAAGATTCCCATCTCATGATTCATCCTTAATGTATTAACTGAAATATTTTCCTGTTGCAGTTTTGTATATCAATTCCACTTGCAATAATCAATCTTATCCGCTAAAGTGTAATTTTTCAATACAAAGGGAACTGAATGGATAAAGCGTGTACACGAAATCATTGAATTATTAATGAACTGCGGATATTTATGCGAATCAACGTTTTCATGATGTAATTTATGAAAAAATCATTTAAACGGAAGTTCAGTTCTATAAATAAAGGCGAACGATTTAATTTCAAGCTTTGTCCATTGTAAACTTGTCGTTTTTCTCTCGGTCATTAGAATTTCTATTTTTTTCTAGTCCGTAACAGAGCTAAAGCAACGATAAATCGAACTGCCGCTAACACCGATGCACTTCCTAGTTTATGAAACGAATTAGCATAGTATTGCTAAAGATCCC